CCCCAGTATTGAGAGCAGCAGAACCTCCGCCTGATAATCATTATGTTTTCAGTTCACAACGTCGGGGAAAATGATCCAAACCATACAAGAAGCCAATCAATTTAAAGCCTAGACTCTGTTCTTTCCAACAATTCAAGTGTCACAGCTCTATGTGAAAAATTCACAGAACAAGCAGCCAAGGAATAGCGAAAAAGGCTAAATTCTGGAACCATAAAGATGAACATCTTACATTTGTTTTCATGGCTTTAATCCACTTTGGAGTGATTTTTTTCCACTTGGCTGGACCTGTACGTCTCCTGTGTTAATGTTGGTACATGTAATATGCTAAGTAGAGATCATTAAGAGTCGTTGTCGGGTGAAAAAATCTGTGTTGACCGCGAACCAGAAGTGATCGGAGTGGCATCACGTGCTGGACCGGATGTCCGTGGCATATAGGCTATTAGTTCATTCATCCCTTAAGCCCAAACCCCCGGTTTTCTACTTTAATTACTCTAAGTTCTTTTAGCTAGACATAGACATGTTTGATATTTACAGAAACATCAGAATCTTGGCTAGAAACTGGTAAAAACCATTTCTATGAATATCTAAGACAGTTAAAACTACAAGCAGTTGAAGATAAAAATATGAAAGTGAAAATAAAATTGCTTTAAAAAGTTAGCAAGTCAGAGTTGTCAAAATATTATTTGTGGTAAATAGGAGGTATAATGTGTTCTTTTTGTTTTAGATATTGTTTTACTATCACTACATTTATTACATAGGGTTCTGTATGTTGTTTCCATGATTAAATCCATCAAAATAAACTATTTCAGAGGTATCTTTGTAATACTTGGTTTATTTACACACTGACTTTAACTGTTGGATGTTCAGCCCCTGTGCTGTTGGTCTGCATTACCTATGGCCCCCAGAGCAATTTAGTTGAATAGCCCTGTTGTAAATGGTCACATTAGGCTATAAAATTACGAGAAAATGAATGGACGTCAATCAACGGTCCCCACGATATAAAACAAACCTGTGTGTGTAAATGTTTTTTTTTCTACCTGGTGAGGACCCACTGTTCCTTAATGGGACAAAATCCCAGTCCTCCTTAGCAAAAATACTGTTGGTGGGTTAGGGGTTAGGTTTAGGACTAAGGTGTGAATAACATGTGAGGTTAGGTTTAGAGTCAGGTGTGTACTAGTGAGGTTAGGTTTAGAGTCAGGTATGTACCTGTCAGGTTAGGTTTAGAGTCAGGTACTGTATGTACCTGTGAGGTTAGGTTTAGAGTCAGGTATGTACCTGTGAGGTTAGGTTTAGGGTCAGGTATGTACCTGTGAGGTTAGGTTTAGGGTCAGGTATGTACCTGTGACGTTATGTGTAGAGTCAGGTATGTATCTGTGAGGTTGGATTTAGAATCAGGTATGTACCTGTGACGTTATGTCTAGAGTCAGGTATGTATCTGAGGTTAGGTTTAGGGTCAGGTATGTACCTGCGAGGTTAGGTTTAGAATCAGGTGTAAGGTTAGGTTTGGATTCAGGTATGTACCTGTGAGGTTAGGTTTAAGGTCAGGTATGTATCTGTGAGGTTAGGTTTAGAATCAGGTATGTACCTGTGACGTTAGGTTTAGGGTGAGTTATGTAACTCTGAGGTCAGGTTTAGAGTCAGTTATATACCTGTGAGGTTAGGTTTAGGGTCAGGTATGTACCTGTGAGGTTAGGTTTAGAGTCAGGTAGGTACCTGTGAGGTTAGGTTTAGAGTCAGGTATGTACCTGTGAGGTTAGGTTTAGAGTCAGGTATGTACCTGTGAGGTTAGGTTTAGGGTCAGATGTCAGGGTTAGACTGTAGAAATGACCAGTAAATGAAAGGAAGTCAATGGAAAGTCCCAGCGATGATAGACAAACAACCATGTATTTGTGCATAATTGTTTTTGGCAGCTCCCTGTGCCAGCAGCAGTGCTTGCGTTGATGTACCATGAGAAACTGGTGTCCTGCTCCAGCAGCAGTCCTCGTCTGCTTAACAGGAACCCTGAGTCCAGCTCAGCWGTAGGCAGCAGCCAGGGTAATGTGTGTGTGTGTGTGTCCGTGTGTGTGTGTGCATTAGTGACCTCTCTGTTTTTGATGAACCTTCTCTGATCATCTCTGTTTTTGCAGGACATGAAGACATGTTTGATTGCTGCAGCCCTGTCAGAATCAGGGGTCGACCTGCTACTTTCTTCATCCTTCATGCATTGGGTGGAGCTGTCGTCTTCATCACTGATGGAATCATAGTGAGTCATTCTATTAATGTTACACATAATTCTTAAAACCATTCTGCTGCAACACACTTATCACCTCACGATATACTGACTCATGTTCATGTGGTGGGTCCTGCAAAAGTACATATACATTATTTGATATTGGCCTGATTCTGCATTGTTTCAAGCACATGGATCCACTTTATAGTAAAGTTCACATGCCTAAAAATATATTATACTGTACTTAAGTTTGTGTTTTTACCACACGGATAGTTTATAAGATAAAATAAAAGGGTTTTGATAGTTTCAGACAGAAGGTAGGCAAGTGGAAGGTCAAATGTCAAATTTAATGGGTCTTAAAGTAATTAAAGGCAACTTAAGTTAAGAGGAGCAGAAAAATGCTTGAACTCCAAACAATTAATATCTCCCTCCCAGACTGCATTCCTCTGTGCTTGAAATCAGCAATCATTGTTAATTTCAATCCTCCCAAAAACTGGGTCAGAGCGACTGAATAACTGCTGACCTGATCTGATCTATAGTGATTAAAAGTGCTTTGAGAGGCTGGTGCTATAACTCAAAGTCAGGTTCTCTCCTTACAACCCGTTTCAGTTTAGATGATTATATAAACCTCTGTAAACAACACTATCCCAACCAAAACTGTGAGATGTTTTCCCAGTAACAAACCCTGGTTCATCAGTGACCTGGAGGGACTGCTAAACAAGAAAAAAAAGAGCCTCCAGGGAGTGAGACAGGGAGGAAGTGTCCTGATGCATCTCAGTAATCCAGGTAGACCCCCCGCACACGAAGCGTAAGTGGGAGTCATATTTTTTTCGTACTGTTTATTTTTTTTCTCCAAAGATTTTTGGTCAACCGCAGCAAAAAAACCAACCCATTCTCACTCCCAAGTCGTCACATATTGACGCTTTTCCAAGGTTCCCTGTACGTCCGATTTTGACGCGCCGGGTACCCCCGTCACGTCAGTTACTGACGAGATGGGGCGAAATCTGTTGTCATATTTTCAGAAAGTGTAAAAAATGCGCAAAAACTACTGTTTCGAAGCCTGAAATTACCTTTGTTCACTTTAGACATCCTGTCCCTGACCC